CGCGCTGATGAGATCCAAAAAGATCGAAATCGCGATCCGCGTCTGGCAGTTTCGACAGAATACAGACCACTTCGAATTATTTTATTCGATTATGGTAACGTGCCTATCACGTTGAGGTTAGCACGTCGGGATTCGTTTCAACAAGTAGATATCCATATTTTTAAATGGACCTTGTTGGAGCATACGTAATCGTACTACAGATGGCGTTTACCACGCCATTTGTGGTATTATCCTTTACCTAGCTAATTTATTTCTTTCGTTAAAAACAGTAGCATGCAGTGGCGTACCACCGACGGGCGACCGACTATGAATGCACTTGACCTTGTCTCATCCGTAAAACTCTTCGCTTAAAAGCCACCGCATAGGTGTAAATGATGGTGAATAAGTAAGCGGAATCACTAATAAGTCGTAAAATTTCAAATATTAATTATGCAGATAATCACAGCGTAATTGCTAGGCATTAAAAATTTTTTGATTATCTGAATGCACTTGGCCTTGTCTCGTCCGTCAGAGTTTAAATTGTGTATGTACATCGTAATTGGAAATGCATGTACGTACATACACGAGCTGTTATTTTACATAATGTGCCGCAATTACATCAAGTATTTATTTATAATCTGTATGATTTTATTAACATGCAATTCATCCTGAGAAAACCTTGTTGACATTAAAACGAAACGTAAGTATTGATAGACACAAAGACACAACAAAACCTGGTTTATGTTGTACGAGGTCTGTTCAATAAAGTATCGCGAATTTTGAATTTCCGTGGGTAACGTATATTCAATTTTCGATTTTTTTGTGGCTGTTGGTACTCATGTCTCTCACTTATAACGACAAGTTCGGCCATGTTGAATGTTCAGTTAATTTTTGACAGTTGCTTTGCTTGCGCGTCTTCGATTTTTGCCTATTACAAAAAATGGATCAAAGAATCTGTATCAAATTTTATGTGAAAAACAGAATTAAATGCGCGGGCCCATTTCGAATATTGACTGTGGCGTATGGTGAAGCTACCTTGGACCGAAGCAACGTTTATCGGTGGTACAAAATATTCTCAGAGGGCCTAGAAGATATGAACAACAAAGAGCGTGCCGGAACCCCGAGCACGTCAACAGCAGACGAAAATATTGATGAGGTAAAGAAAATAGGGTAAATGTCCAGATGATGGTCGTAAGGAGATAGGGGTGGGTGGGATCAAAAGAGGAGGTCTCCCCCACCACTGTACCATAAAAAGTTCGTGGCGGTCTCACCCCAGGTAAAGTTATGGGAGTTAGATGGGGGTGGGGGTATGGGGGATCGAAAGAGGGTCGTCATCTGAGTAAAACCCCATAAAAAATTTGCGGCGGTCTCACCCCCATAAAAAGTTATGGGTGTTGAAAGTTGATTATTTTGACAATTTTCATACAGTATAATTCAAATAAAATTCAATAAAAAAATATTTTCAAGCGGGTGGAGGTGGGGGATCGAAAGAGGGTGGTCACTTGAACAAAACCCGATAACCTAACCTAACCTA